GAGGAATCGAACCCAGGGCCTCGAGTATGCAAGGCAAGCGCTCTACCACTGAGCCACCTTCCTAGCCCTCCACGAGACTCTTATCTCCAACTAACCAACAAAAAGCCAGAAATGGAAGTATGGCTTAAGTGATAGAGCACTATCCTTGAACAGAAAAAGCTGAGAGCACAAGGCATTAAGTTTAGGCCCCAATACTGGCCTGCATACACATGCACAGAAAAATTCAAATCTTTTAATGTTAACCTTGGTTTATTGATGTTCTAGGGAGAAAATCCTAAATCTTCAACATAACATAAAAGTCCACATCTTCAGCTTGGCATTTTGTTAATTAATTGGAGATAGAATCTCTTGGACTTTTTTCTGCCGGCTTCAAAGTGCAATCCTCTGATCTCAGCCTTCTAAGTAGCTAGAATTATAGGCATGAGTCACCAGCACCTGGCAATATTTAAATTTTTTTTTTTTTTTGTCGGTCATGGGGCTTGAACTGTGGGCCCGGGTGCTGTCCCTCAGCTCTTCAGTTCAAGGTTAGCACTCTACCACTTGAGCCCTAGCGCAACTTCTGGCTTGTTCTGCTTATGTGATGCTGAGGAATCAAACCCAGGGCCTCATGCATAAGAGGCAAGCACTCTTCCACTGAGCCACCTTCCCAGCCCAATGTTTAAATTTTAGAACAATTAATTTAAAAAATTCTCTGGCTATCTTTATTTCAATGGAAAATAATTATGTCCACTAAGTTAAAATTTAAATAAGTGCTAGTATTTATGGTACATTTGCTCTGCATCATGAATGTATTATATTTTGTATTTATTTTATTTTATTTTTTAAGTTACAGTCACAGCCAGGCTTGGGTTGCTCTCACATCTGTAATCCTAGCTACTTAGGAAGCTAAAATCTGAGAACCATCGTACAAAGCCAGCTCAGGCAGGAAAGTCTGTGACATTCTTATCCCCAATAAACTACTCAGAAAAAGGTGGAAGTAGCACTGTGGCGCAAGTGGTAGAGCACTAGCCTTGTGCAAAAGAAACCCAGGGCCCTGTGTTTAAAGTCCTCAACTGTCAGAGCACCAGGATCATTTGTTGTTGTTGGTGGTGGTAGTGGTAGTGTTGGTGTGTGTGTGTGTGTCTTCTCTGTCTGTCTCTGTCTCTGTCTTTTTCTGTCTCTGTTTTTCTGTCTCTGTCTCCTTTTGTGTGATGATCCTGGGGTTTGAACCCAAGGCTCGAGTGCATCCTTGAGCTTTTGTGCTCAAGGATAGAGCTCTACTGCTTGGGCCACAGTTCCACTTGTGGCTTTTTGGTGGCTAATTGGAGATAGGAGTCTAATAACTTTTTTCCTCAGGCTGGCTGCAAACTGTGACCCTCAGATCTCAGCCTCTGAGTAGCTAGGAATACTGGTGTGAACCACCAGTATACCCACCCCCACTCTCTCTCTCTTGCTTCAGTTTCTGCACATAATTAAGAACATTCATGGGAATTCTAAAAGAGTAATACCAACTTTCTAACCTCTTCCTTCCTCTGTGCAAAATGACTAAAGAAAGCCTTGTTATTTTTATACTATGGAAGAAGGTGTTATTTTGCCATTTATGACTGTGGTAAGGTTTTGCTGGTGGCAGAGACTCCGCTGTCCCCTGGTGGCACCTCATTGGTTCCATGTTCTAGCCTTCAAAAACAAGCAAATATTTACAGATACTCCTAAATGTAGTCTGAAAGCTGTTCTCTTGTGACTTGCAATTATTCTGTTACACTGGTGGTAATACTTTTTTTGTGTGTGCAGAGCCTGGGTCCTTAGGAGGAAGTTCTCCTGCCTGTGGGAGCACACTGGTATCTAGCACTCTTGGTTCAACACCAGTGCCTCCTCTGAGAGCAGAATGGCTTTGCCTCCTTAGAAGCATTACTTGTTAAATGGGCACTAGTGGCTCATGCCTGTACTACCAGCTACTTGGGAAGAAGTTCAGATTGGAAGGATCAAGATCCGAGACCAACCTGAGCAAAAAAGTTCAAGAAACCCCTTCTCAATCCCAAAGTTGGGTTCAATACCTTATACCTATCATCCTAAGCTATGTGGGAGGCTGCAATTGGCTAGATTATGGTTTCCAGGTCAGCCTTGTAGAAAAATCTGAGTGTTTCCACTAGGAAAGCTAGACACAGCAGTGTGTGTCTCTAATCCTAGCTGCTCAGAGGCTGTGATTTTAGGACTGTAGTTTAAAGCCAGTCCCAGCAGACAAATCCGAGATTGTTATCTTCAATTTAGCTAGCAAAAAGAAGGGGAGGTATGTCTCAAGTGGTAGAGTTCCAGCCTTGAGAGCAAAAGCCATGTAAGAGAATGAGGCTCTGAGTTCAAGCTTAGAAACCCTCCATCTCATACAAAATAACCAGTGGAAAGGAAGTTTGGAAGAATAGTTCAAATGGTAGAATACCTGCCTAGCAAGAATGAGACTTGAGTTTAAAACCAATACCTCCAAAACAAAAGTTACATATTAACCTCTTTGGAATATTTTTGTCATCAGTATTTGATATAAACAAGATCTTGGAACTTTCCACCCAAATTCTAGTGTTCTTCCTAATTTACTGCCTTTGACAAAAGGTTTGAGTATACTTCCAATTTGCCTGGACTCCTAGTAAGGACTTTAGTTTTAAAAGTATAAACTCAAGGGCTGGGAAGGTGGCTCAGTGGTAGAGCGCTTGCCTTGCATTCCTGAAGCCCTGGGTTCGATTCCTGAGCACCACATAAGAAAAAAGCCAGAAGTGGTGCTGTGGCTCAAGTGGTAGAGCGCTAGCCTTGAGCTGAAGAGCTGAGGGAGAGCGCCCAGGCCCAGAGTTCAGGCCCCACGACCGGACCCAAAAACAAAAAACAAAAAAAAAAGTATAAACTCAAATAATTATGAAGTTAACTTTATTTACAACTCAAAGTGTAAAAGCATAAATTCAAATGCATATAGAAGTACAACTTTATTTTCCTGTCATTTACCTTAGGTTTAGTTTTTAATTGCCTTTTCCAAAGGATTGGAAATTGAACTTTCATTTTCTGAATACCTTTCTTTCTTTCTTCCTTCCTTTCTTTCTCTTTCTCTCTCTCTCTTTTTTTCTTTCTTTCTTTTTGTCAGTCATGGAGCTTGAACTCTAGGCCTGGGTGCTGTCCCTCAGTTCTTCAGCTCAAGGCTAGTGTTCTACCACTTGAGCCACAGTGCCACTTCCAGCCTCTTCTGCTTATGTGATGCTGAGGAATCGAACCCAAGGCCTCATGCATGCAAGGCAAGCACTCTACCACTGAGATAGCTTCCCAGCCCCCTTTCTTTCTTTTTTAACATGCAAACAATAGAACTTCATTTTGATGAAACACTTGAGTTTATAATCATCTAGTAAATGAAGAACAAACACTTCATTTTCTTTAATGCATTAGTAATTAATATCTTTGAAGAGATTAAGGATAACTCAGACTGGATAATAAACTACTGATGTTCACACTCTTTGCATGTGACTCAAACTGATAAGATATGAGCATCTGAGTTTGGCTATAGATTGTATTTAAAACTCTCAACTATAACAACTCTTACAGAAATAATACAGGAGGTAAATATGACCAAAGTACATTATGTGCCTGTATGTACATGTCATGATGAAACTCCTATGTATAATTAAATACACACCAATTAAAAAATTTACAGTATAAAACTGGGGACTCACAGAACTAGAAAGCCCTATAGGAACCAACTGATCCAAATTCTCACTCGTATCCAGCTACTTAATCTGACTTGTGTGAGTCACCAAACTGAAGCTTGGAAGGTTTCAGATCTGAGCAGTCATACCTCAGGAAGCAGCTCTGGTAGTTGAAAAGTTCTCTCTTTAGCTATGTAAGGTCAAAATCTTCTGCTATCTTTCCTTGGGGCTGCTTCTTTATTAAACAAACTTTGATGATATCCATCCTAGCCATTCACTGAAGTCTAGCCATATTCAAATATTGTACTAAGTTCTTTACATGAAAAATCTCATCTAACTTATACACCAGACTTAGGAGGTAAGAACTTATCCCAATTTTTCAGGAAGCCTGAGTTTCAGGAATCATAAAACAGATCAAGCACTAAAAATAAAGCTGTCGTGTAGACCCACATCTGTCATTCTCAAAGCACAACCAAGTCCTTGATGTCTACACTGTAAGGCCTCCAAAGAACAAGTGTCATTCATAGAATTGCTCTCTAGTCTTGGAACTCTCCTGATGACTTGTGAAATACCTCCAGTTCTTTCAATTATCCTTTATTGGATGTAACAGCCAAAAGAAATGACCTGGTGACCTTTCTAAGAATAGTTCCAGCCTCTCATCTGTGTCCTAAAACATGGGCTGAGAGCTGGTCATTCTGCACAGACAAGCCTACCATAGCAGAATTCACTGAGTGCCTCATGCATGTCTAATTGAGCAGCCAAAAAGTAGGTCAGCTACTTAGGGACTCTGAACTAATGCTGTTCTGCATCAAATAAAAATGCCCCTGAGATGCTGCCTGTGATTCAAGGCTGGAATTCTAACTACTCAGGAGGCAGAGGACTGAGATTCAAAGCTAGATAGAACAGGAAAGCCTGTGAAACTCTTTTTTTTTTTTTTGGTCGGTCGTGGGGCTTGGGCGCTGTCCTTGTGCTCTTCAGCTCAAGGTGAGCGCTCTACTGCTTGAGCCACAGCACCACTTCCGGTTTTCTAGTGGTTTATTGGAGATAAGAGTCTCACAAAGGGCTGGGATGGTGGTTCAGTGGTAGAGTGCTTGCCTTGCATGCCTGAGGCCCTGAGTTCGATTCCTCAGCACCACATAAGCAAAAAGAAAAAAGCCGGAAGTGGTGCTGTGGCTCAAGTGGTAGAGCACTAGCCTTGAGCTGAAGAGCTGAGGGACAGCGCCCAGGCCCAGAGTTCAGGCCCCACAACCGGACCCAAAAACAAAACAAAACAAAAAAAGAGTCTCACAAACTTTCCTGCCCAGGCTGGCTTTGAACCCATGATCCTCAGATCTCAGCCTCCTGAGTAGCTAGGATTACAGGCGAGAGCCACCAGCGCCCGGCTGCCTGTGAAACTCTTATCTCCAATTAACTACCAAAAAAAGCTGGAAGTGAAACTGTGGCTCAAGTGGTAGAGCACAAGTCTTGCCCAAAAATCCTCATGGAGAGGACCCTGGCCCTGAGTTCAAGCCCCAGGAACAGCACACACACACAAAAATGCTCCTGAATCAGAAATGGTGCTTCCATCCATCTATGTATGTAGTGAGACAATGGTCTCACCACCAGGGGTCTCACATGTTCAATGACTATATATCTTAACAATTCCTCCAGAGAAAAGCCTTACATGTGAGTGGTCCTTGGCATCCCCTATATAAGTTTCAAATGTTTACTTAGCTTGTAGGTGCCACAGAAGAAATCTTGAAACCATTATTCATGTGTTGAATTGGTGCTTCAGAGTGGCAGATGGCAAACACAACTTGTTGGTTCTGCCTGTAAGCTAGCACTATACTTGTTTTAAAACCTCACTATCCAGTCTTTGCAGCAGGTTCTGTGCAAACTTGGGAAACTTTATTGTATTTGATCTTGAAAAATATTTTAATTAGTGGAAAAGAACTGACAAGTGACAACAAACACAAACCAAAGGACTGAGACAGGTAGTACTAGTAAATTTTGCAACTCCAGAAGGCTCATCGTTAGCATGAATATGAATCTGACACTTGCTTTTTTTTTTTTTTTTTTTGGGGGTCCAGTCATGGGGCCTGAACTCTGGGCGTGGGCACTGTCCCTCAGCTCTTCAGCTCAAGGCTAGCGCTCTACCACTTGAGCCACAGCACCACTTCTGGCTTTTTTCTTTTTTGCTTATGTGGTGCTGAGGAATTGAACCCAGGGCCTCAGGCATGCAAGGCAAGCGCTCTACCACTGAGCCACCTTCCCAGCCCTGACACTTTCTTTTTTATAAGGCCAAAATATTCAGTGCTGCCAGAAAGAAATTTGAAGACACTATTCAAATGAAATGTAATTTGGAATTTTAGATTTTTTTTCACATTTTTGGAACCAGAGTCATTCCTTCTGTAAAATACGCATATGTAATTCCCGACTTTAGGTTTCCAATTCTTGTCTTGCTGTGCCACCAAGCTACTGTGAACTCTTGGGTAAAGTACTAGACCTCTCTGTGGATCATAACCTCATATATAAATGGGGATAATAGCTGCATCATAATAGCTGTTCCATTGGATTGAGGATAAAATGATTACTAAGTGTAATGACAGCAATGCTTCCTAGGAGAGTTATTTGGAACACAGTTCAGTAAGTGTTAGCTTAACATGCATTTAATGGTATAACCCAAATGAAAAATGAACACCCTCCTGACTGTCTGGAGTCAGAAGACATTGAGAGAAGTTAATATGGGAAAGACAGGGAACTGGAAAGGGGCACACACCTTGAAAAGAGACCAGAAACAGTCCCAAGGAGAGAATGGCCAGGTTGATAGATGAGCCTTTGGAAAACTATAATAGATGAGAGGCAGCCTAAAGGCAGAAAGGAAATAATGGGTCACAGGTGAAGTTTAGGCAGTCAGAAATAGCCAAAAGGAGGCCTTGATACAGACTTGTTGCACCAGCTGATGGCCAAAGGCAAGTTGATAGCCAGCAAAAAGGGAGCTCATGGGAAGGCTCTGGTCCTCAGGGAGCCCAGAGAAAAATTACAGGTCCCAATCTAGGAACAAGAAGTATAAAGTCTTGAGCCAGATCCTGGACCTAGAGGTACTGCCTTGCAAACAATGCAAGCATGGATTCACTGGACTGCTGGTCATAGCTTACAGCACCCCCTATGCAATGTGATCGCAATGACAGCAACTAAAGCTCATTGTCCGGGAGCCTTGTCATGCTCTCTCTCTCAAAACCCCCACCTACAGCTCCATGAGATCATGTGACTATCCCAATTTATAGATAAGGAGACTACAACCTAGTGAGTAATGTGGCTTGCCTACAAACTCAGGGAAGGGATAGAATGACAGACCGGTGGACAGAGAGTTGAAATATGGTAGCAATATCATCTTAAACCCAAGGCAGAAACTATTTGCTAGAAAGACCTTGTACAACTGATCTCATCCCTTTACTGTAATCACTCCGGTCCATCCACATGCACTCAACAGTCTCCTGCCTTCAACTTTACTAGGGTGCCCACCTATTACATGTCCTTTACTCACTGTGGTCTCTCAAAGGCCCAGTTCAAGTCCCATCTACACTGTGAACTCTGTTTCACAGTTTATAAGGTGCAATTAAGTAATATTCTACATTTTACATGGGGGGGGGGCAATGAATATCAATCTACACTGAAAGTACCCAGCCAATTTCCACCATTTCTGAAAAGATCTAGAGATGTGTGAAAAAGGCTGTCTTCCAAACACAGAACCATTATTTCCTTTGTTTTTCTACCAGATATTGGATCTCAGTTTCAGAAGGTCTGGAGTAGTAACAAGCTTTGTGTTGGGGGCTTTTGGTTCTCAATGTCACCTGTCCATAGGCATCCAATGAGAAATTCAACCCCCTAACTCATTTATCCAATCTCACTGGTGTGAAAGCTTGCTTTAACTCTGGAGGCTGCCTTCCTTTTTCCATGCACACAAGGGGGCCTGGAAAGCCAAGAGCCTATCCAGTTCCCATCTATTACTCCCACCACTCCCTCCATCTTCTTGGGGCTGTTCAGGAGTCAGGACATACAAGCCTATGCTCCTGGAGCTCATAAACTCATCATGTGGTTTATGGATTTCCCAGGGATGTTTGGGACACCTGGTAATACTCCCTGTCCCTGGGAAGTGACAGTCTGCCTCATCCCTGTGTCCTGCCTTACTATCTACAATCAGCATTCCAAGCATAGGAAATGGGTACTTGTTTGGTTAATTTTATTTTCTTTGAAAAGGAAAAGAAAGCCATGGTCTTTTGAAGGATATTTTGGCCAACTCTTTTCTATTCTTGTAGAGCCATGTCTTCTGCAACACCAAAGCCAAGAAGAAATTCCTCACTCCATTGCTTTCTTGGCTGTCACATCTTTTTCTTAAAGCCATGAGTACATGGATAGCTGCTTGTTTGGGATGGAATGATAATGAGAATTGAGTGAAAAGCCTATAGGAGTGGGAATTTGTTAACACTACCCTATCTTGCTTATGTGGAGCCAACAGAAACAATATTATCACTGATGATGATAACCATATTAAGGGCTTTAGAGTCCACCCCCCCCCCATCCATGTGAAACTATGACCTTAGCCCTAAGAAACAGTGCATCAGGGGCTGGGAAGGTGGCTCAGTGGTAGAGCGCTTGCCTTGCATGCATGAGGCCCTGGGTTCAATTCCTCAGCACCACATAAGCAAAAAGAAAAAAGCCGGAAGTGGCGCTGTGGCTCAAGTGGTAGAGTGCTAGCCTTGAGATGAAGAGCTGAGGGACAGCACCCAGGCCCAGAGTTCAGGCACCACGACCAGACCCCCCCACCAAAAAAAAAAAAAGAAACAGTGCGTCACTTTGGCTCTTCTGTCCTGCTCTGTGCTAAGCTTGAGCAAAATGGCAGTGCTTCGAAAATGTTCTAAATAAGCAACTGCCATTAGGGCAGGTTGTCTTTATTTTTTTTTTTCCACTAGAGATCTGTTTTGAGTGGGTTTCAAAAGCACCATTCTATTACTTGGTTTGGTTCTAGTAATATGACAATTTATACAAAACAGTGACCTTACCGTAAAAATCTAGGCATAGTAAGAATAATATTTGGATAAGTCATCATAGAAAGTTGCATAATGAAAGAATGCCATTTTTTTCTTCCAAGATTATAGAGGTATCCCTAGAACACCTTATTAAGTTTTAAAAATTGAATTTATTTTAAAAATTATCTTTAAGGAACCCTACTGCATTAAACAGTATGGAAATACCTCAAAAAGCTAAATATAGACCTCCCCTATGACCCAGCCATACCACTCCTAGGCATCTACCCTGAACAACAAGAACCAGTTTAGAAAGACACATGCACTACCTCCATGTTCATTGCAGCACTGTTCACAATAGCCAAGATTTGGAGACAACCCAGATGCCCCACTACTGATGAGTGAATCCAAAAATTGTGGTACCTATATACAATGGACTATTACACAGCCATTAGAAAGGACAAAATAATGCCATTTGTAAGGAAATGGATGGAATGAGAACAAATTATTTTGAGCAAGGTAAGCCAAGAACAAAGAGACAAATGGCACCTGGTCTCCCTGATATATGGATGATAAAGTCAAAATGCAAGAGGCTATGACAAAGTAAACAGGACTCAAGAAACAAAGGACAACCACTCATTTTGTCATATCATTACTAAATGACTCCATGTTCTTGAACATATATATGATTTATATATGCATGCAACAGAGGGAAGATAGGAGGAGGGCACAGAATAAGTGGGTAATGGAACAACATACAACAGAGGGACCCATCAGCTGTACTGGACATAGAAGAAAAAGAACTAAGCAATCTAAAGATAGCAATGGGAAGGAGGAACGAGAGGGAAAGAGGGAACATCCTAAAGTCAGCAAAAGGAAAGAAATGTAAACATCACCTGATGTGGAAAAAATTTGTATTGTCAAAGCTCATAGACTTCACAAACTGTATAGACCATGATACTGACTGACAATGTGTCTTGTGAAGTGTGGAGCACATGGGCAGCAAAGATGGCGCTGGGAGGGGGTTGAGTGGGCAGAGCCTAATTTACTGGAGAGCACATGGCCAGCCAAGATGGCTCTGGGAGGGGTTGAGTGGGCAGACCCCAATTGATCTTCTGATCAGTGCCTAACCAGCCCGTGAGGGCTCAGGTGAATGATAGGGTGTGACCTTGACAGTGATTGGTTCCTCTTCCTCCCTTACCATACCACCCACCCTTGTTGTCTTTAAAAGGGGCTGCTCTCTGTTAATAAACGAGTTTTTCTACCTGCTGGATTTGGCTCCCCGCTGTGTCTGATTGTCTCCTGGGCTGAGGGAGGCTAGGGAATGGGCGAGCGCCGCACTTACCTTTCCTCGGACCCCGCCCGTCTTTCGTGGGACGGAGGAAGACCCAACAGTGAAGGTTAAAATGTTTGTGACTTTAACTAAATATCACTATTCTACAATACAGTGAGACATGTGAAATTTATACAATTGCCTAATCTCAATTTTAAAAAAAGTGAGAGAAGGGATGGGTTAGGAGTGAAGGGTGACAATGTTGTCAGACACCTTGTACTCATACTGTTTTGTAGAATGGCAACTTCTTTGTACAACTACTTAAAGATAATAATAAAAAAGGAAAAAAAAACAAAATCACATTTATTAAATGGGGCATAATGAAATTCCTAAGAACTGGGAGTCACATAGTATACATAATTTAATAACCTATTGACATCTCTCATCTCTCTAAAAATAAACATTTGTATACTAAATAAAATTATCTTTAAATAGTTATATAAAGGGGTTTCATTTCAATGTCAATTTATGGACACATTTTTTTTTTTTTTGACACAGTATCACTGTGTGGCTCAGACTGGTTTGAACTCTCAGTCCTTGGGTCTCAGTCTATTGATGCTAGTATTACAGGCATGCACTAGCATACCTAGCTGTACCACTATGCCTGTTTACACTATATAGACAGTTTTGACTTCCATCTTAAAGTATGTTAGTAATTTTAAGATATGTAAGCAATTAACCATTTCTGTTTAACAACAGTTGCTCCCACTTACTGAGTTCTTAGTATGTGTAAGATACAAAAAAAATCTTCATTTAATCATAAAACCTTAAAAGATAGTATATATTCTAATGGGAGAAAAAAATGCACCAAGAAACTAATTCACCCCTGTCCAAACTTACAAGTTATTATCTATTAGAACTGAATTTGAACCCTAGAAGTCTAATGGCAGAGCAGCAGTGCTTAATTTCCTTCCTTGAGAATGAGATTATAAATCGTGATAATAATGGTTAGGAAGTTCTGGTACAAAAATGACAATTGTTGTTATAATAAGCCAAAGGCTAATATTTTTAGAGGAGCAGTACTTAAGTTTGAACTCAGGGCTGCCTCGTCCGGGGCTCTATTGCTTGAGCCACAGCCTTTTTTGCTGTGGTTATATTTGAGATAGTCTTGACTTTTCCATGGGTTAGCCTGGCTTACCATCTTTCTATTTTTGTTTCCCACTCTGGCTCTAATGACAGATGCATACCACCATACCTTGCTTTCTTTGATGTTGAGATGGAGTCCTATTAACTTTTTTCCCTGGTTGGCCTTGAACCCTTGTCCTCTGGATCTCTAACTAGTAGATGAGAAAGACAATTTTAATGTAAAAAATTCATTGCACTATATGTGAGACAAAGTAAAAGTTATCACTTTGCAGCCCAGATGAGAAACAATGCAGGTCTCTTGGACATGAGAGATTTGTGGTGAGCTGTTGTAGACCTTCAGAGAACTACAATGAACACCATGGAATTGAAAGATGTAAGAAGGTACATTATTATATGTTATAATTTGAAGGATTCAGCATGGCGATCTGATAATCTTCTCAAATGACACCTAAGGACAAATAAAAATGAAATCAGGGACTGGGAAGGTGGATCAGTGGTAGAGTGCTTGCCTTGCATACATGAGGCCTTGGGTTTGATTCCTCAACACCCATAAGCAGAAAAAACTGGAAGTGGCACTGTGGCTCAGGTGGTAGAGCGCTAGCCTTGAGCTGAAGAGCTGAGGGACAGTGCCCCGGCCCAGAGTTCAGGCCCCATGACCACCACCACCACTACCACCACCAACAAAATGAAATTAAATATTTAAATTCTCTTACAAACTTAAACTCAGGGCCTGAAACTCTTATTCAGGTTTCTTCACTCACTGCTAGTGTTCTACTACTTAAGCTGCCACCTTGAGTCCAGTATTTTGTTGGTTAATTGGAAATGTAGACTTTCAGACTGTTCAGCATGGGCTGGCTTTGAACCTCAATCCTCAAGGTGTCAGCCCTCTGATTAGCTAGTATAACTGGGCACAACTTTCAGCTCCCACTTATAAATTTCATAAAGCTGTTAGTATTCTGTATAATTCACTCAAAAACATTTAATTTTATTTTTTTGTCGGTCGTGGGGCTTGAACTCTGGGCCTGGGCGCTGTCCCTCAGCTCTTCAGCTCAAGGTGAGCGCTCTACCATTTGAGCTACAGCGCCACTTCCGGTTTTCTGGTGGTTTATTGGAGATAGGAGTCTCACGGTTGCCCAGGCTGGCTTTGAACCGCGACCCTCAGATCTCAGCCTCCTGAGTAGCTAGGATTACAGGCGTGAGCCACCAGCGCCCGGCAAAAAAATTTTTTTTTTTGGGTCCAGTCATGGGGCCTGAACTCTGGGCCTGGGCACTGTCCCTCAGCTCTTCAGCTCAAGGCTAGCGCTCTACCACTTGAGCCACAGCGCCATTTCTGGCTTTTTTCTTTTTGCTTATGTGGTGCTGAGGAATCAAACCCAGGGCCTCATGCATGCAAGGCAAGTGCTCTACCACTGAGCCATCTTCCCAGCCCCTCAAAAACATTTATTAAACACCTACTATGTGCCAAGAACTGTTAGAAGTGCTGGAAATACAAAAAAAAAAAAAGTATTGTTTTGGGGGCAATAGAGATGAGACAAGGTCTTCTGTGTAGCCACTAATTCCTGATCCTTTTACCAAAACTTCTGGCATACAGGCTGGGATTTTAGGCATCTGGAATTACAGGCACATATTTCAGTTTTTCTTTCTTTTCTTTCCTTTTTTTTTTTTTTTGTGGCAGTTGTGGGCCTTGAACTCTAGGCCTGAGCTCTGTCCTTCAGCTCTTCAGCTCAAGGCTATTGCTCTACCACTTGAACCACAGTGCCACTTCCAGTTTTCTGGTGGTTAATTGGAGTTAAGAGTCTCATAAACTTTTCTGTTGGGCTGCCCATTCAGAGTCAAATAAATGAACAAACAAGACAGAAAGAAAACAAAAACAAAGAAAAATTCTCTTGCTTCATTTCCTGGAGTTCATTTCAATTAGTATTATTGTATCTGATCAGATACAGACAGGCATGGTGTCTTTGAGTTCTTCTTAAAAATATTTTATTTTTTTGGGTCCGGTCGTGGGGCCTGAACTCTGGGCCTGGGCACTGTCCCTCAGCTCTTCAGCTCAAGGCTAGGACTCTACTACTTGAGCCACAGTGCCACTTCCGGCTTTTTTCTTTTTGCTTATGTGGTGCTGAGGAATGGAACCCAGGGCCTCAGGCATGCAAGGCAAGCGCTCTACCACTGAGCCACCTTCCCAGCCCCTCTTAAGAATTTTTTTTTCATTTTATTTTGTGAACATACTGTACAGAGGGGTTACAATTACATGGGCAGGATAATGCGTACATTTCTTATCAATTATTGCAGCCTCCTCCTTTGTTTACCTTTCACATCCCTTCCCAGCCTCCCCCCTCCTCCCCCACCCTATATTCCCCCCCCCCCCCCAACGTTGTAAAGCTTGTTTTCGACATGACAACTTGTACTTCTCATTGTTGCAACAGGTCCACCTGTATCCTCTTAAGAATATTTTAATACAAAATTTTACATATATCCTAAAATCAGGCAGCAAGCAGGACGGGAACCTTCTTTTCATCTCACTCCACAGTAAAGGTTATGATGGGGACATCACTTTCCTTCCCAAATTCCACTTTTGCTGGTGGTAGTTGTTGGTTTTGAGGCATGCCCCATGCATGCTACTTTCAAATACAGTGTATCAATTTCCTGTTAAGAAAACAAAAGTAAGCAATTAAGAATATCTTACCCCGGGGCTGGGAAGGTGGCTCAGTGGTAGAGCGCTCGCCTTGCATGCCTGAGGCCCTGGGTTTGATTCCTCACAAGCAAAAAGAAAAAAGCTGGAAGTGGCGCTGTGGCTCAAGTGGTAGAGCACTAGCCTTGAGTTGAAGAGCTGAGGGATAGTGCCCAGGCCCAGAGTTCAGGCCCCATGACTGGACCCTCCCCCTCCCCCCCAAAAAAGAATATCTTATGCCTTGTTTAAAAAGTAAGCATCTGGATTACTCGAACTGCTCAGCAAAAGCACAACTATAAGTCAATGCATGTGGACAGACTGTATCACTCTGCTTTAACAGACTAAGAGAGGTGAGAGAATGCATTTTCCAGACATACACGTACATGCATATATCTATCTATATGTGAATATACATAAATGTAATGTACTATATTTTACATATTACACATCTACACTATGTATAGATGGGTATGTAAAATGTAAAACACTTTTTGAGGCAGATCTCAACCCTACATAGCCCAGGCTGTCCTCAAACTCTTGATCCTCCTGTTACAGCCTCCAAAATATTGAGATTATAGAGGAATACACCACGCTAGCTTTAAAATGTAAATTTAGAAATACCCATCTAGGAAAAGTAGACTGTAATAGTGCTTTCCAGGAGTTAAAACTGTCCTCTTAGCTGGACACTAGTGGCTAACATCTGTAATCCTAGCTACTTAGACTGACATCTGAGGATTGTAGTTCAAAGCCAGGCTGGGCAGAAAAGCTCAACAGATTCTCATCTCCAATTAATCACCAAAAAGCCAGAAGTTGAGGTGTGGCTCTAGCGGCTGAGTGCTAGCCTTAAGCGAAAAAGCTAAGGGGCAGAGTCCAGACCTGATTTCAAGCCCCAGGACTGACAAGAAAACAACAACAAAAATTGTCTTCTTCTGGACTCTCAGCAGGAGTTTAAATTAATCTTAAATTTTATCACCACAATATTGTAATGTCTAACCAAATTCTAGCAAAATAATTCAGGTGTTTTGAGTAGATTTTCCCCAGTTTATGCCATGCATTGTGCTAAACCACACATGTACTTAATCCTGGAATCGACTTTCCCAGGTCAGCGTTTCACTTTTCACAAGAGCGAATTTTCTGGGAGGCCACCGCCAGGTGGTGACAGAGCAGAGGCTGGAATGCGGAAGACCCCAGAAGTCTACACTCCAACGGTGGGAGGGCGATCAAGGGCACGCTCTGAGTAAAACGGTAAGACCTGAGGCCGTAGAATCAGAGAACGCAGAAGTGGAAACGCGCAGACTCACCGCGACGGTCGCGCGCCGGGAGGCTGGAAAGCGCGGGGCTTGGGAGCGGGAAATCCAGAGGAAGGGGCAGAGCTCCGGAAGTCGGGCTCCACGCCGCGCGCCGGAAGTCTGTCGGAGACTTCCGAGGGCGCGCGCCGGAAGTGAGTCTTGAGTGCGGGCGCCAGCGTTGCGTGGGGACCGTCGCCCTCCGGCTTGCGCTGCGACGTTGTGCACGCGGTTCCTGTTTCTGCTCCTGCTCCTCCACCGGTCGAGATGTCGCACCCGTCCCCACAAGCTAAGCCCTCCGACCCTAATAACCCCCGAGTCTTCTTTGACGTGGATATTGGAGGGGAGCGAGGTGAGCCTGAGGATACCGGACCCCGGAGGGCCTGGGTAGCTCCTAGGCTGCGATTTGGACCCTGGGGCCGCTGAGCGCCTGCGGGGGCAATGGCTACCTAGACACCGACCCGAAGGCGACCGGGCATCCAGGCCTGGGTCAAGCTGGTGCTCTTGTACAATGCCTTCGGACTTGTGGGAAGTGGGAAGGTTCTGGAAATTTCTGGCTCAAGAATTGTGGTAGCTTTTAGGTTAATCTCCTAATTTGCTTTTCCACCACCTTTGCACCAACAGCTTGCCACAAAAGATTATTTGGAATTATAGGTGAAATAGCACAAAAAGTTCCTGGCATGTGTGCTGTAGGACTCCCGTCATTCTGATATCTTTTTGTTTTTGGCATACCAATTACTACCTGCGGGCGGTGTTTATACGTGAAAGAGACTTGTTTGCTTCTTAGTGCTACAGATTCCCCCCACCCCCCTCAATTTTACTGTTAACTTGGCAGTCCAATCAGAGAAGATGAGCACTTCTCTTTTGGCTTTGGGATATGAAGCTTAATCTAACGGGTTGCCGGGTATACAAAATAGCTTTGAAGTTCCTAAGGCTTTGGGGGTGAGGGAAAGCATCACCTAGTAGTGTTAAAGGGAACCTCGATCATGAGAAGCCACATTTTTGAGAGGCTTAATCAGGAATCTTCACTGCTGATCGCCTGTCCCAAAGAACCGGCAATCCCGAACGCTGCTATCACAAAGCTTATAAAGGCAAAAACCACATGATTCTGGTGGGGAACTAAGCCATCAAAATTGTGTTTACTAAAGCAAAACAGCTAGGTAAAGCCATCTGAGGATTAGGGCAAGGATCACCCAGAGCTAACATAACACATCTGCAATTCAAAGTATATTTTACCTCTAGGGTTTTCTCAATTGGGTGAAAAGTCCTCATTTTCTAGTAAGATAGTAGACGGTGGTGAGGACAAGAAATTATTTAGACCCAGTATCTATATGGATTTGGACCTGTTCTGGAACATGATAGAACTACTTGCCAGGCGGTGTGTTTAATGCATATATGGGATAAATACACATTTACTTGCAAGGTTGTTTGTTTTGGAGCCAGTGCTAATTTTATTGCTATCATTTTAGGAGTTGTGTGGAAGCAGTACTTGTTCATCTTTTGTGTCATAGGCTGCACTAGGCAGTTTCCTTAAGGTGTAGCCAGCTTGACCACTGAAAGGGTACATTTTCTTCTGTTAGTTATTTGGTGATTGGAATTTCTGCAGATGTGAGGAAATTCATTTATGCTTCATAGTGGTTCTTACCAGATTCTTCTAGTGGTTCTTCAGGTTCACTTAGATGCTTGAACTTTAGACTAAAATTTAAACATGAGAAATGAATTCATATCCAAATGAATAAAAATTGTATGTTAAAGAGATGTCTGCATGTCCATGTTCCTTGCAGTATTATTCATAGATAAAATTTGGTATGTGTATACAGTAGAATACTATTCATCTTTTAAAAAAGAAATCCTGTCGTTTGTGACATGATGAATTTAAAGGATGTGTTAAGTGAAATGAACTGTATGTAGCAATGCATATACCACCTGATCTCAATTATGTGCATAGTCTACTAATAGAAGTGGAATGCCAGGGCTGGGAAGGTGGCTCAGTGGTAGAGCGCTTGCCTTTGAGGCCCTGGGTTCGATTCCTCAGCACCACATAAGCAAAAAGAAAAAAGCCGGAAGTGGCGCTATGGCTCAAGTGGTAGAGCGCTAGCCTTGAGCTGAAGAGCTGAGGGACAGTGCCCAGGCCCAGAGTTCAGGCCCCACGACCGGACCCAAAAAACAAAAACAAAACAAAACAAAAAAAAAAAGAAGTAGAATGCTATGGTAAATAATAGGGACGAAAGAAAGGTCAAAAAAGCTCTATTGCACAACATTTGTGATTATAGTTGATAACTGTTCTTCAAATTGCAAAAAAAGAAGATAATATACTTGGTAATTCTTTAATGTTGTGACAATTGTACCAACCAACTCTCCTTAGGATATTTGCCAATTGGTTGTTCTGTATACTTACAAAAATTTTCTTTTCTTTTAGTTGGTAGAATTGTATTAGAATTGTTTGCAGATATTGTACCCAAAACTGCAGAAAATTTTCGAGCGTTGTGTACAGGAGAAAAAGGCATTGGATCCACAACTGGGAAACCTCTCCATTTTAAAGGATGTCCTTTCCATCGAAGTATGTGTAAACTTTCTCAATCTAATTATCTGCATATATCTATATGAATTCTTGGGAACTAGCAGAACACTAACCACAGAGTACAAGTTAAAGAGGCAGTTAGTTCTGAGGAGAATGTGTTGGCATCTGAAGTAATAGTTCAGCTTCATTAATGTTGGTTTGTGAGCAGTGGAATTGATTTTGGAGAGTGCTAAAGTTTATCCATTGAGAAGTGGACTGCATTAGCTTAGCCAGTTCTTTGAATCTCTCCACTCCAAAATTGTGATTATAAAAGCAAAAGTGTGGCCAAATAAATAGTGCTGATCATTGGTAATTTGGTGACAAAAGTTTGTGTTTCCATCATAGGCAGCATTGCTTGAGAAAGCTGCAAATTTAAAGATTAACATATAGGTGATAATGTACTGGGTGTGGTGGTACATGACTATCATTTCAGCTGCCTGGGAGCAAAAAGCACCAGTTGGAGGCAATGCCAGTAAGATCTCATCTTTATAGTCTAGGTGTGGATTCCTATCCCTATGAGATAGGTAGTTGGATAGGAGAACTGGGTCTGAGGTCTTTCTTGGGTAAGACCTTATACAAGACAAGTGGAAGGGAAAAGAAAGGGCAAAAAAGTAGTAAAGAATCCAGTTGGCAAGCATGAAGCTTTGATTTCAAACCTTAGTACCACTCCCTCTTGTGACACCATTTCATATCTTATTTGAAAAATTTTTTTGTTTTGTTGTGAGGCTTGAACTTGGGGCCTGGGTGCTGTGTGCTGTTCCTGAGCTCTTGCTCAAAAGCTAGCACCCTACCACTTTGACCAAAGTGCCACTTCCAGTTTTCTAGTGGTTAAGTAGAGATAAGGGTCTCATAGACTTTTCTTCCTGAGCTGGCTTCAAACTGTGATCCTTGGCTCTTCGCCTCCTCTGTGAGTAGCTAGAATTACAGATGTGAGCCATCAGTGCCCAGCTGAAAATTTTAATGTTTTTGTGATAGTACTGGGGCTTGAACTAAGGGTCTTAATGTCTTACTTGGCCTTTTCACTTAAGGCTTCTACTCAACCACTTGAGAGCCATAACTCCACTTCTGGGTCCCCTCCCTCCTCCCCAGTTCACTAGAGATTAGTCTCATGGGCTGGGTGCCACTGGCTCATGCCTGTAATCTTGGCTGCTCAAAAGGCTGAGATCCTGCTGATCAAAGTTTCAAAGTCAGTCCAGGCAGGAAACTATGTGAGACTCTCTAACCACCAAACACCTGAAAGTAGAGCTGTAGCTCAGTGGTAGAACAGACAAGTTTAGGGACAGCACCTACACATGAGCTCTTGCACTCCTCCCTCCCTGCCTACCTCCCTCATCTCTTTTGTCTCCCCCCTCCCTTTTCCTCTCCTCCTTCTCTCTTCTTTCTCTCCCTTTCCCTCTCTCTGTCTTCCCTCTCTTCATCTCTCTGCCTTTCACTCTTCTTTCAGAACGCTTTTCTCCTTTCTCTTTCTTTCCTCTCCCCCACCCCCCCCAACCAACCTCCAGGCTGGCTTCAAATTGCAATCCTCAGATCTCAGTCTCCTGAGAAGCTAGCATTACAAGTGTGAGACACTGGTACCCAGCCACTTTCTACTTTATAATCCTAACTTTACTAATTATTTGATACTTCTTCCAGTAGACTATAAGTTCCTGTAAATTCAGGAACCATATGTTCTCTACATTTACTGCAGTTACTGAGTAAGCATTCAGTAAAAACAAGTGCATAAAGAAGTTAAATTATAATGTATCAGTAATTTTTTTTCTCAGTAGTGATAGAAATTGAACCCAAGGTTTTCCAACATACTAGGCAAGTATCTATCACTTGGCAACACTCCCAAGTCCAGAAATATTTTCTTAAAAGCCTGATTTATTAAGAAATTGTTTTTTTTCCCTTACATTCTAAACTATTGATCTACTGTGGGCTTTAAGGAAATACCAAAATATGCCAACAAAAAGTATGAGAAAATAAAGAACATAAGAGGATCCCTGCTCTTTCAGCTTCCAAAAGTTTGGGAACTTGTCTAGATTACTTGTACAGACTTGTAATTTATGCCAAACATATGGTTTTGAAGAGTCAGGAATTTTGGAACAAGGTAGGCAGAGATGGTCTTACTTGATAAGGTATAACTAAATACCTCGGGTACTGAGTTGCTTAATTGACACAGAGCTGTCTGCATTTTTATTGTTGGCAAAAGTGTGTTCTGCTTGCACGTAACTTCCTGTAGACTGTAGGTCTTTCCTTCTGATCCAGTTAGGTATTTCAAGTCTCATGAACATAGGAATCTATTAACATATGAGTGATTTTGGTAACCTTTTTTTTTTTTTTTTGTCGGTCCTGGGGCTTGAACTCTGGGCCTGGGCGCTGTCCCTCAGCTCTTCAGCTCAAAGCAAGCGCTCTACCACTTGAGCTACAGCACCACTTCCGGTTTTCTGGTGGTTTATTGGAGATAGGAATCTCACGGTCTCTCCTGCCCGGGCTGGCTTTGAACCGCGATCCTCAAATCTCAGCCTTCTGAGTAGCTAGGATTACAGGCATGAGCCACCAGCGC